ATGAATCTTTCATTGCCTCGGAGTTGGGTAACAGAGTGGGGTATATCAGGATTGAAAATTTCTGTCCAGGAAATTTTCAGAGAGAGGTCGGTAATCAGCCAAAGGGCCGAATGTGATTGCTATGCATGGTGTACTTCCCATACAACATTCCATCGAAAGACCCGAGTAAGGGTAAAACAGACTCTCCACAGCAGGGACACCACTTACCCATGATTGCACAGTTCTTGGATTGTGCACCCTGAATCCAAGAACTGTGACATGAATAGCAAGACTTTAGGGCAGGACTTTGAGAAGCAAGGAACTTGATATAAGGCTCTCTGCAAGTCTCCTGTCATGATTGAGATCAAACTGTTGAACTGTTCCTCTGTTCTTTCTAAGAAGAGATGAGACAGGAAATTACTTTCCAAGTCTCACCCCAAGCAATCAATTCAAATGCTTTCCTGAATATTTTAGGTTTTGGTGATTTCTGAACTTTTCCTTGCTGTCATTGAAAGCTACTTGAATTGTCTTTAGGATGACTCTGTTTACCTCTGTCTTTCCCATAACCCCAGTTCATCTTTCCTATTGCAAAGGAAGAGCCAAGTTGAACACTTTTGTTATGTTATTCATATAACCTATTTCATAATTGACAATTACCCCTTTTCACCAAACCATTGCTTAGGACTTCCTAATTTTTATTGTATGAGCTGATATAAATTACTACAATAGTATTTATTTATTTTGAGAGAGATGGCCTCAGATTCACTACATCGCCAAGTGTACTTGAACTACTGATCTTTCTGCCTCCACTTCCTAAGTGCTATTATAGGCATGAACTACCATGCCTTCCTTGTTCAATAACTCTGATGAAAAAAAAAAACGTGCAGTTTGAAATTGCTTCAATTTCTTTGCTTTGTAAATTCATGAAGATTGGTAGCTCTGTGTTTTATTTTTCTTCCAATCTAATCTTCCTCATAATCTTAATCTTCTTGTCTTGAGAGAATGCTGCAACTTGTAGCCATATATCAGAAAATCTGGCTCAAACCACTTGTAATATGGTAACTCTGAGATATTCTCATAACTATCTAAATCTTAGAAGCCTCTCTGTGAAGCACAGATGATAATTCTATCTCATGGAGTCACATAAGTATTGTATATAATAGCACTTATATATGAGTTAAAGAGATAGCTCATTGGTTAAGAACATGTACTACTCTTCCAGAGGACCTGAGTTCAATTCCCAGCACTTATTACAGGTAGCTCACAATCACTTGTAACTACAGCTCAAGGGGTATCTGGTACCTCTGGCCTTTGGGAGCATCTGCAGTCATGTGCGTGTACGCCTCTCCCATATATATATAATCACAAGCGATAAAAAGAAATCTGAAAAAAATGTACATAAAGCTCTTGGTGTAGTGCTTGTGTTAAATATTAGCTGTTGATGTGATTGTTATCTTTCCTTGGAAGTTCTTTTAGTATAATTTATAGTTTGTAGTTCATATTCCCTTGACAGTACAACATGTTAGATTGACTGGAGTTTGGTCATCTTACTCATGCAACCGTTCTTTTCTCACATTTTTATTTTCTGGTTAGTTTTCAATTTTTCTCCTCTCAGCAGTGTTCAATATTAAAAGGTATGTTTCACCCATCAGAATGGCTAAGATAAAAAACTCAAGAGACAACACATGCTGGAGAGGTTGTGGAGAAATGGGAACCCTCCTCCACTGCTGGTGGGAATGTAAACTTATACAACCACTCTGGAAAGCAATCTGGTGCTTTCTCAGACAACTAGGAATAGCGCTTCCTCAAGATCCAGCTATACCACTCCTAGGTATATATCCAAAAGATTCTCAAGTACACAATAAGAACATTTGCTCAACCATGTTTGTAGCAGCCTTATTTGTAATAGCAAGAAGCTGGAAACAGCCCAGATGCCCTTCAGTGGGGGAATGGATGCACAAATTGTGGTATATCTATACAATGGAATATTACTCAGCAATAAAAAAAAAAAAAAAGAAAATCATGAAATTTGCAGGTAAATGGTGGGACCTGGAAAAGATCATCCTGAGTGAGCTATCCCAGAAGCAGAAAGATGAACACGGTATATACTCACTCATATAGACATATATTATAGGATAAACCAACTAAAATCTGTACACCTAAAGAAACTAATCAAGAGGGAGGACTCTTGCTAAAATGCTCAATTCCTATCCAGAAAGGCAAAGAGGATGGACATCAGAAGAAGAAGAAAAGAGGGAACAAGTCAGAAGTCTGACACAGAGGGCCTCTAAAAGGCTCTGCCCTGTAGACTATCAATGCAAATACAGAGACTTATGGGCAACTGTTGGACAGAGTGCAGGGAATCTTATAAAAGAAGTGGGAAACAGTAAGATCTGGAGAGGACAGGAACTCCACAAGGAGAGCAACAGAACAAAAAAATCTGAGCACAGGGGTCTTTCCTGAGACTGATACTCCAATCAAGGACTATGCATGAAGATAACCTAAGACCCCTGCACAGATGTAGCCCATGATAATTCAGTATCCAAGTGGGTTCCATTGTAATAGAAACAGGGACTGTCTCTGACATGAACTGATTGGCCTGCTGTTTGATCACTTCCCCCTGAGGGGGAAGCAGCATTACCAGGCCACAGAAGAAGACAATGCAGCCACTACTGATGAGACCTAACTGATTAGGATCAGAAAGAAGGAAAAGAAGACCTCCCCTATCAGTGGACTTGGGGAGGGGCATGCATGCATAGGGTGGAGGAAGGGAGGGATTGGGACAGGAGGAGGGTAGGAACCACAGGGGGATACAAAGTGAATAAAGTGTAATTAATAAAGGATTAAAAAAAAAGAAAAAAAGAATTTTAGATTCTCCCATCTCTAGAAACTTTGTGGAGACCACAATGCCTATAAAAAAAAAAGTCAAACAAGATTGCATTAAAAAACTCATTATTGGTTCTTTGTGGATTTCACATCATGCACCTCAATCTCACTCATCTACCCCTCCCCTTGTACCCGCCTTCCACCCTTGCAACCTCCAAAAAAGAAGAAAAATCTCATTGTGGAATCTGTAGTGTGTCACAGTGTGTCCCACGGTGTACCCCTTTGTCCACACTTCTTTGCTTGCAAATGTTCATTGTAATGAATCATTGGTCTGGCTTGAGCCTCCTGGCTACTCCTACTCTATCAGTACAGGAACCTCACTGGGACTCCTCTCTGATATCCTGTTGTTGCCCTGTTTCATGGAGATCCTGTAGTTTTGGATCTGTAGAACCAGCCCTTTCATGCACTCCAGCAGTTCATCAGTGGTTGGGATGTAGTGATGGGTCAATTCAAAGCCCTGGGTTTGGGCCTAAGAGGTATCTGAACTGGTCAGACTGCCAGCTCCTCAGCTCTGAAATCCTCAGGGCTGGCTCACCAGTAACCCCTAGAACCAGGGCCAGCTACCCTGATGCCCAGGCGAGGTGCAGGGCCCGCTTTCCTGAGTGTTGACTCTGGTGAGGGACATGGCCAGTTCCCCCACTCTTATGTCTCGGGGCCTGCACTTCGCCTGCCAGAGATGGCAAGGGATGACGTAGGGTCCTGACTGCCATAGACAGTGAGAAACAAGGGGAGGAGGACATCTCTCCCTCATCAGCGCAAGTCCAGCAGCTTTGAGGCACGCCCAGCTCCCCTGCTCTCACACCCTCGAGGCTGGGTCATCTGCAAATTCCACATTGAGAGTCAACTCCCCTGGGCTGTCCAGGTAAGGTGCAGGGCCTGCTCTCCCAAGTGCAGCAGCAGGTGAGGGTCAGGGACAACTCTCTCCCCCCCCCCCCATGAGCTCAGAGTCAGGTCTCTTGCCTGCTGTAGGTGGCAAGGGGTAAGAGGGGGCATCTCTCCCTTCCCTGTGCTGCCTCACTGCAGACAAGTGGCAGGACCAGCTCTCCCATGCTCACACCCCCGGAGCCAGCTCACCTGCACAGCTGCCACCAGGGTCAGCTCTAATGTGCTGCCCAGGATGTGTAGGACTCATTCTCCTGAGTTCTGCAGATTGTGAGGTGCAGGGACAGCTCTCCTGCTCTCATGAGCCCAAGGCCAGTTCTTTAGCCTGCCACAGTTGGTGAGGGCTGATGGGAGAGGAAGGTATTGCTCCCTCATCCGTGCCACCACAGGGGCATATGTGGTAGGGCCAGCTCTCCCATGCTTGCATCCTTGGGTCTGGCACACCCACAACTCCCGCAACGTGCAAGGCCTCACTCTACTGAGTACTGCAGCTGGCTAGGGGCTGGGTCAACTCTTCTGCTCTCCTTCCCCCAAGGCTGGTTCTCCCATGATGCCCAAGTGAAAGGTGGGGCCAGTTCTGCACAGCTCTCAGACATCAACATGTCCCCGAGTGGCAGCCCAGACCCGGGACATCTGTCTGGCCTTGGTGGTAACAGAGCCCTGCTGCTGCGGGGCCATGGAACCAGATGTGGCCCTCCGTGCCAGCACAGGCCAGGACCCTACCATGGCCCCAGGCGTCATCGTTTGCTACTCACATCAGGCTGTTCCTCATTCCTCCGAGTCCTCAGGTCCTTTCTTCTTTGTTCTCACATTCTTATGTTTCTCACTCTTTTCCATTTCTCTACCACTTACTTGCACCTCTTAATGGTGCTGGTGGTCTCTTAGTGTCTGCTGTGACATCGAGTGGTCTCTGGAGTGCCATGTCCAGCTTGCACATTATGGCGCAGGGCAGCGGTGGTCTCAGGTGTGGCCTGCCCCCTTAGGCCTGCTGAGCACCGGACTGGTGGTCATCTCAGGCTAGCCTCTTTGTCTGGGGCCCATGGCTCTCGTCTGGTGGTCATCTTACCTGGTTCACCTGATGGTCCCATGCAAAAGTCTGGCTCAGGCTTAACTACTGCCCTGGATCCACGGTCCCGGGTGGGGCTCCTCTGGTCTCTGGCTTGCTCCCTGTCCTAGTTTGCTCCCTGTCTTAGCAGCCCATCTAGGCTTGCCTGTCACCGGTCTAGTCATGTCAGGCTCACTTTTCCTCAAGGAATGTCAGACCACTAGTCATTCAGATGTTCGTAGATCAGAACACTGAGGATAGACACAGCCTCTCTCCCCTCTGCCGCCCACTGACACACACATGACACGGCAGCCTCACCTGCAATGCCTCTAGGGGCAGGGAGATTGCATTTTTGAAATTACAGGAAATCCCACAGCATGTTTTTCTAGTTTCCGTATGAAAATATGAGTCTTAAAAGACAACACTAACATTTAATTATGAATATAGATTTCACAATCAATTCTCTGTAATTGAATATTTTGTCTTATTTTTGGAGTGGCAACCATTGTCTACTTACTAGTCTTTTCCTTCAAAACCAGTTGTTTCATTTCTCTAAAAGTCACCGTCACATGCACACACATACATACATGTACTCAATCTTCTACACATGAGGTGTGTGTAGTGTGTATAAGAGTGTGTATCCACGGCATTGTTCTGATGACAAAGAGCATGCATGCTAAGTATGTACGAGGGAGACGATACAGGCTCGGTTAGCTCTTCTGCCTGCAATTTTTAGCAGTTTTCTTTTTTAATTCCTCTCTGGCTGAGTCCATTTTCCTTCTCTTTCAAAATGACGCCAGAGGTAGGGTTGTAGCTCCAGGATAGGGTACTGACTTCGAATGTGTGAGGATGTAAGTTTGATTCCCAGTTCTGTAAAGGTAGAGTGAGATCATATTTGCTCCTCAGAATCTGAAGATTATCAGGTGACATCATTTGTTGTTGCCACAATGAATTAGATTGTCAGTCAGTATTCGTATGGCTTTTTTTCCCTTTCTTTTCTTTTTCTTTCTTTCTTTCTTTCTTTTTTTCTTTCTTTCTTTCTTTCTTTCTTTCTTTCTTTTTTTTTTTTTTGTCTCATCAAACTATTTAGAGCAGAGATCAAGCTGTTCATCAGTGCAATCCTGACTCCTGGGTGAGCACGCTGTCCTCTCCTACCATGAGAATATGAACACTGAGATGAAAACCCTTTTGTCGTGACAAGGAGAAGCCAAGAAGTTGATGTGGAAAATGGTGTTCACTTCTAGACTTGGAGGTTAAAATGTGATCATTTGTAAAGTACACAACAGACTGCCAAGTGCTTACAAATACTGAATAAATAGAGCTGTACCAGTTGTTCCTGGCTTTTTATTTTTTTCTAAACAGATTCCATTCCAGGTTTGTTTCAAGTCAGACCTGAGGTTCAAAACTTGAAGTAAGGGGGTGATAGTCAGAGCGAGGTGGAAATGGCCAGTGTCACCAAAGAGACGGACAGGCATAACATTACCATACAGGTAGTACTAACAGTCTTTGTTTTTTTTATGGGCAGTGAGTCCAGTTAGTCAAGTTTATTTATAGACTACCATTAGCTTTTTTTTCTTTTCTTTGTAGGTGGGTGATGTAAATTAGAAAACTTTATTTTTCCAAGAATGATAAGATTTGGGCATCAGGAGCCATCTGTTATTGTATAAATGTGAAAACTTACTCCTCTCTGGCTCATGACTTAGTTCTCGCTATCTAGGAGGTTCCATATTGGGAAGCTTCAGAACCGTCAGAAGATAGGAGCTGGCTGAAATCATCCCTAGAAGATGGTCATTTGAGGCAGTAGCCTCGTTCTGGTTCTGGTCCCATTTCCTCTGATTCTTAATCTGCTGTGGTGTGAGTGACCTCTTCCACATGCCATTAGGGTCATTAACTCTGCCATACATTCCCAGCTATGATGGAATGAGATCTCTGAGTCTATGAGCCAAAGTGAAATGTTCTCCTCTTGTTTGAGTCTGGTATTTTGTTTGCAAATGCAAGTAAATGGTATATGGTCCTAAGGCAATCTGAAATCTTCTGTAATTTAACACAGGCAACTGTGGAACTTCCCAGAACTGAGGATTCTGGGAAGATTCTGGAAAAGAAAAGAGTCAGTGAAGTTGGGTAGGATGTCGTGGTACAGATTTAGAAAAGGAGTATCTGATAGAAACTTGTAAAAATTTTAAAAATGTAGTAGAAAATGCAATTTAAATAATTTAGGACACACTCTAACTAGACAAGACTCTTAGTGGAGGGAGGAGAACACCAACCCACCCACAAATACTTTGACCCAAAACTTAGGGACAAAGATAGGACAGATAGAGCAGAGATTGAGGGAATGTCCAATCAATGCCTGGCCCAACCCATGACCTACCCCATGGAAGAGAGTCAAGCCCTATCACTATTTTTTTTCAATTTTTTTTAATTTTATTTTTTTCTTATCAGTTACATTTTATTAACTCTGTATCCCAGCCGTGTCCCGATCCCTCATTCCCTCCCAGTCTCTCCCTCCCTCCCTCATCTCCACCATGCCCCTTTCCAAGTCCACTGATAAAGGGAACCTCCTCCCCATTCATCTGATCCTGTTTTATCAGGTTATCTTCAGGACTGGCTGCAAAGCTCTCCTCTGTGGCCTAACAGGACTGCTCCTCCCCTGGGGGGTGGGGAGGCCAAAGAGCCAGTCATTGAGTTCCTGTTAGAAATAGTCCTTGTTCCCCTCACTATGGGAAACCAATTGGTTACTGAGCTACCACAGGCTACATCTGAGCAGAGGTTCTAGGTTATATCCATACATGGTCCTTGGTTGAATGTCAGTCTCAGAAAAGACCCTGTGCCCAGATATATTTGGTCCTTGTGGAGCTCCTATCCTTTCCCCATCAGATTCCCCTTCTTTCTTATGATTCCCTGTACTTTGCCAAAGGTTTGGTCATGAGTCTTTGCTTTGAAAACACTGCTAGTTAGAGTCTTTCAAATGCGCTGAGTAGACTCCTGTCATATGTTCAATGCACATCCCATCTGTCTTTCTAAATGAGGATTGATCATCTTACCCCATGTCTGCTCTCTTGATTATCTTTTTTAGGTGTACAGATTTCATTATGTTTATCACATCTTATAGATCTATATAAGTGAGTATATAGCGTGTTTGTCTTTCTCCTTCTGGGATATTTCACTGAGGATGATCTTTTCTAGATCCCACCATTTGCCTGCAAGCCCTATCACTATTAATGATCCTCTGCAATGCCTGCAGACAGGAGCCTATCAGAGCTGTCCTTTTAGAGGCTCCACCCAGCAACAGTTTGAAACAGATGCTGAGACTCACAGCCAAACATTGGATGAGTCATAGGGAGTCTAGTGGAAAAGTGGGGGAAAGGATAAAACAATCGAGAGGTGAAAAGAGCTCCACAAGAAGACCATCAGAGCCAACTAATAACCAGGGCCCAGAGGGGGTTATGGAGTCTGAAGCACCAACCAAGGACCATGCATGGACTGACCTAGGTCCTCTACATATATGTAACAGATGGTCAGCTGAGGCCTCATGTGGGTCCACTACTAAGGGAAGCGGGGGCTGCCTCTGACATGGACTCTGTTGCTTGCTTCCTGATCACTTCCCCCTGACAGGACTGCCTTACTAGGCCACAGGGGAAGAGGACTAACTCAGTCCACATGCTGACTAGATGAGCTGGGGTGGGTGGGTAGGGGGTCTCCCCTTTTCTGAGGAATATGGGAAGGGAGATGGGGAAAGGTGGGTGGGTCTGGAAGGAAAGGAGAGAGAGGGATACAATGAGGATGTAAAGTGAATAAACAGCTTAATTAAAATAAATTATATCCTTTATCTTCCCTTTAATTTTCTCAATAAAACTTTAGTTTACCTATGTTTTTGTGTGGATGATGCTATGTATAGTGTCCCTCCAAATTCATGTGTTGCAACTAACTCACAGTGTAGTTTGATCCTTGACCCACAGTTGCTCTGAACAGGAACACAGCTAGTGCTACAGTATGCCAAAAGAAGGATGGTCATTGATAAATGTTTATTCACTCTCGTTCACAAGGCAGTAATTTGTAACAGCCAACAAAGGTTTTAGGTGTTTTAATTCATGTTTTCATTGCAAACAATCAGCTAATATCAAATAGGATTTGATATTGATAGTAACAATTAGAATTGACAAACTCTTACAGGAAATTGAAAAAACTTTAAAAATTGTCATTGGTTAACAAGTAAGAGGTTAACCAATGACACAATATTTTGTTAAGACACAATATTTATATATTGGTAAACTGATCATTTTCCAAATGTTAACCAAATTGTCATTGGTTAACAAGTAAGACGTTAACCTATGACACAATAGTTTGTTAAGACACAATATTTATATATTGGTAAACTGATCATTTTCTCCAAACCAAGTATTTATACTACAAGCAGTATGGCTATGTTAGATTCTTAGCGTAAGCTTTTAAATTCAATTTGCACATCACTTTAAGTTGCAGCTCACAGAGGAGGGTGTCAGAGGACTTCTGAAATATTTATTGGATAAAAACCATAAAACACCCATTCCCTGTAGTTGGCTTCATATTCCCATGAACCCCCAAACTAGGAAATGCCAACTGACTTGAAAAAGCAATAATTGCCACATCTTTGTCAATGCTTTTTTTCTTAGTGCTAAGGATCATAGCTACTGTTTTGTATTAATGAATGGCTTCTAAACCAAAAATATGATCTTGCTCACATAACAAACACACTCAGGACTTCAAAATAATAATAGATAATAATTTATACTTTGTGTAAATGTCTTTACTGAACATAATGACCATTAGTTAAACATTTGTGGGGTATCTAAGGGGGTTATGGGGAAGTTTCCTTTAACCTTTTCAATTCATAGTACTTGTTGCTTTGGAAAGATCTTTAAAGTAACTGTTGGTATTATAAAGGATAATCAGAGGCTAAACAAAGCTAAAGACCCAGGGGGCAGCCAATATACAGTTGCTTCAGTAAATAAAACATAAATCAGAAGGATTATTCAATAAGGCATTTCTTTTATTTTTAAGTGGAATTTAAAAATTCCTCTAGCAAGAGCTAGCTCATAATTAATAGGACCATTTATTAAGGGTAGATGGCCTGATCAAGGACTGTAGCACATTTATTCATCCTCAAAGCCAAGAGAAATGCTTTTGAAAGTAGGCAGAGGGATGAATAGATTTTCTTGAGCTATTGTGTGGTCTCATATTACTTGATTGCTCTATTGTAGAATACTAACCACAACAAAGACAACATATGACTTATTTTTCAAAGAGGCAAAGAAAAGAGTCTTAATTTTGCAGAGTTCACAGCTTCTATTGTTCCCTTAC